AAACAGCAGTAAGAAGAGTCTTGGTGTTGGCTGTTGCTGGCCTTCGGAACTGAGCTTGTACCGTATGAATCGTTTGACCTGTGAGTACGGATGCATATTATCTCAAGTCATCAAACCAACTAAGTAGATTTTAAAAACACAGACTTTACTATCTAAAATGACAAGAAGTTGGAAAACAAAGCTGTTCAGAAGTAAGTAAAGTTAAAAAAAAAGAAGTAAATTAGAAGTAAGTAATAAGAAATTAGGAAAAATCTATTTGGAAATTAATACATTTTAAATAAGGAAGAGCAGAGCAAAGTAATCATAGATTAAGTCAAAGGAAGAAAATGAAATAGTAAGCTTAACAGCAGAAGTCAACAAAATAAAAGAGGGACAACAGAGAAGATAAAAGGTAATTTATTTTTTATGTGAGCTCAGAATTTATTTTAGGTTGGTTCTTTGATTCTTTTTAAAAACAGAAAAATTTCTGGCTTAATTAATCAAGGGAAAAAGGAGGTCAAATGAGCAAAAGACAAAAAGAGGATATAAAATTATCATAAAAATGAGGGGGTATATCCTACAAACATTAAAAGGACAATGTTGTGTGTGGTAGTGTCGGAACCGACCCATGGGAGGAGATTACCCAACCTCCTGCGGAGCAGCTGGTGGCCTTGAACCATGTCCCTTTAGGATTACAGTGCAGCGTCTTGCTAGTAGGCCACCAGAGATCCCTAAAATAAGAAAAAAAAAAATTATATAAGCTGCACTGCAATCCCAGAGATACATGGTTCGAATCCACCAGATGCTTTGCTGGAGAAGGAGGGGCCATCTCCTCCTGTACCAGTCAGATCCGATTTGACAGCACACACACACACACACACACAAACAACATAATAAAATTAAAAAAAAAATTATAAATACAGTATGCCACAAAATTTTATAATTTAGATGAAAAGGACAAAATTTCTTGATTAACTATGTTGTGGTTATTGTTACTTGCTATGAAGTCACCTGTGATTCATAGCGACTATCATCTTCAATATGGATTGAAGCTCAACATCAAGAAGACAACGATTCTCACCACTGGGGCCAACTGGCAGTATGATGATGGATGGAGAAGAGATTGAAGCCGTTAACAATTATAGCTTACTTGGCTCCACAATCAACACTTTTAGCACCAGCAGTCAGGAAATCAGAAGGCAAATTGCAGTAGGTAAATCTGTTGTCAGGGACCTTTCCAGAGTTCTGAGAAGCAACAATGTCAGTCTAGAGACTAAGGGGCACCTGATCTAGTCCATGGTCTTTGCAACTACTTGCTATGCATCAGAGAGCTGGATAATGACCAAGGATGATTGAAGAATTGATGCCTTTGAGTTGTGGTGCTGGAGAAGAGTCTTGAACATACCATGGACCACCAAGAAAACATGTCTGTCTTGGAGAAGGTGAAATCAAGTTTCTCCTTGAAGGTGAGGATTTTTAAGTTCTACCTCATATCCTTTGGGCATGTGGCCAGGAGGGATCGATCGTTGGAGATGGACATCATGCTTGAAAGGGTGGAGAGATGTCACAGAAGAGGAAGACCACAGATGAGATGGATTAATACAGTAATTAGGGCAACGGGGATAGGTGTTATCAGAGTCAGTGAGACTGGCTCAGGACGGGACCGGCTTCATAGGGTTGCTAGGAGTCGCAGGGAACTTGACAGTACATAATAACAACAACAGCAACAACTCACATGCCATCTTGGACAATGAATAATGAAGACCAAATAAGAATTTATGCTCTGGAACTGTGGTGTTGAGAAGGAAACTGAATCGGTACCATGGATGGCAAAGATAACAAACAACCTGGTCCTGGAAGAACTGTGTCCAGAGCGCTCCTTGAAGTGACAATGGTGAGGCTACGTCTCACACATTCTGAGCGTGTTATCAGGAACAGTTCGGACCTGGAATCTGACAACATGCTTCGACAAAGAAAAGGTCAGAGAAAGAGAGAAAGACTCTCATCAAGATGGATGGACCCAGTGACCGCACCAACAGGCCTGAGCATGAGGATGACCCAGAATCGGGCACCCTTTCCCTCTGTTGTCTGCAGGGTCACTATGGGTCAGACTCAACTCAGTGGCGTGTAACAACAACAGTGCTGGAGCCTGAAAAGTTGTTGTTGTTGTTATGTGCCGTCGAGTCGCCTGCAACTCATAGCGACCCTACGTACAACAGCCCTAAACTCCGCTCTGTCCTGTGCCAATCGCACTGTCTCTGACACACCCATCCCAATTATCCCAGTCACTGAATCAATCCACCTCATAGAGGGCCTTCCTCTCCTGCGCCGTCCCTCCACCCTCCCAAGCATGATGTCCCTCTCCAAGGACCGGTCTCTCCTCACAACATGTCCAAAGTATGTTAGATGGAGCCTCAGAATCCTTGCCTCCAAGGAGCCACCCGGTTTAACCCTTTCCAGGACAAATCTGTTTGTTTTCCTAGCAGTCCATGGTATTTTCAATACTCTTCTCCAGCACCACAGCTCAAAGGCATCAATTCTCCTTCTATCCTCCTTGGTCATTGCCCAACTCTCTGATGCATAACAGGTGATTGCGAAGACCATGGCCTGTATCAGACGCACCTTAGCCTCCAAAGAGATACCATTGCTCTTCAGCACTTTGGAGAGGTCCCTAACAGCAGTCTTTCCCATGGCAATGCGCCTTTTAATTTCCTGGCTGCTGGTGCCAAGACTGTTGACTATGGAGTCAAGCAAACTAAAGCTGTGTACAATCTCACTCTCTTCACCATCCATCCTGATGCTGCCAATTGGTCCAGTGGTGAGAATCTTTGTCTTCTTGACATTGAGCCTCAATCCATATTGTAGGCTGCAGTCCTTGACCCTCTGCAGCAGGCGCTTCAGGTCCTCTTTAGTTTCAGCAAGCAGGGTTGTGTCACCCTAACGCAGACTGTTGATAAATCATCCACCAATCTTGACCCCACACTTCTCCTCATAGAGCCCCGCCTCCCGGATAATCTGTTCTGCATATAGGTTGAAAAGGTATGGAGATAGGGACATCACAAGTCAATATCCCTTATGAGTACAGATGCAAAAATCAATAACACATATTTTTAACAAATCAAATTCAATAGTCTTTAAAAAGATAGTTACCTAGGGAGACAAATGTGGCAATGCCAGGTTGGCTTAGCACTCAAGTATCAATCAATGTAATGCACTATATTAACAGAATAAGGAAGAAAAGCATATGAACATAAAATCTCATTCAAAATGGGAGGGGGACGCATTTGCTAAAATTCAGCACTCACTATTCAAAAGGGAAAACAAACATTTAGTAAATTTGCATTAGAAGGGAGCTCATCAACTCAACAAAATACATCTTCAGAGTAATCATCACACAGATGGTGAAATACTGAACACTTTCCAGAGGAAGCGAGGCCAGCGTCCGGCTCTCATCACATATTCCCACGTCCTGTTAGACTGAATAAGGAGCGAGAAAAGGTGTAAAGCAAGAGGTGAAACTGCCCCTGGTCTCAGATAGGCTGTTTAGGTAGACAATCTCAAGAAACACTCAAGAGAAGCAGGAAGCAAACTGAGTAAATTGTAGACTAGAAGAAAATAAAGTAAATCAGCATTCATATAACTGCTCGATGTTTATTTATAGGACAGGAATGACACAAAATAATTTTTTTTAAAAAAAGAAGCATTTTCCACTAATTGAAAGATTCCTTAAACAACAAGCTATATTTCAATTATTCTATTTTAAAGAAAAAGGAGCTAAAAAGATATTATTTAACATACCATTTTTTTCTTCTATCATTTTCTGTATATGTAAACATATTAGTTTATGCCAGTAATTTGCATTACAAAAACACTTTAGTGGCCCCTGTATAATTTTCTTCATATTTACATAAATATATTAGTTTATGTCAGTAATGTCACATTACAAAAAGATTTTTGTGATCTCTGTCATTTTCATCATATGTACATAAATAGTACATATATTGTACATCATATATTGTACACATTGTACATCATGTGTACAGAAATAATTTATGTCAGTAACTTCACATTACAAAAACATTTTAGTGACACCTGCTTGCTCTTTTAGTTTTCTTATGGTAACACAGGTGGAAAATAGCCATTCTTTTTTACTAGAAGTCCAAACACCCTCTCTTGTGGCACAGTGCCAACATCACCAGTGCTCAGGAAGCAAATGGGAGAGATGGATGCTCAAATGTGAAATATAAACAATCTGTTCATTTTAAATAACCAAAAGTGATGAAAGGAAAAATAAAATAAATAAAAAATTAGTGGCCCCAAACAACTAAGACAACAAAATATTAAGCTCTTCAAATAGTTATACTACATTTTAAGATTTCAATCAGGTAGCTTTTGTAAGTTAAAAAGGGCACGGAGAACCGGGTGAAGTGAAACAAAGGAGTTTATTCTTGGGCAGGTTCACCATCTGAGGTCAGAGAAAGGCAGGGTCAGGCAGCAAAGTCACAAATGAGGAAATTACAGGCCAAGTTTTATACGTATGGGCTGGGGGGTAGGGTGGTCAGCTTGGTGGTCAGTTTCCATGGAAAACATTGATTGGGTGTCCTTTGTTAGTTCCCAACTATATGGAGCCACTCAGTCCCTTTACGTGAATTATGTCATTGCTGATGGTTAAGTAAGGTGTGGTTGGTGGTTGTGCTCTTTTCTGATTGGCCATTGCCATCTTACACCAGGCAGATTGGAATGTCTCCCAGAAGGTGTGGTTAGTGTGGAATGTTGCCCAGTTCCTAGGTGGCCTTTCAGTTTTTTCCATTTTTCTTAAATGTGTACAAAATTTACATGCTCACAATTTAAATTTTAAATTAATTCTGATATCATTTATAATAATCATCTTTTTAATATTTAAATACTCTCAGACTTTGATCATGAGGGGAAATTTCTATTTCCACTCAAACAAAAATATTCATATATTTACAAACTTTACTCTTTTATAAATAGGTCACTTCAAGGAATCTTGGAATATTTCACTCTTTTCTCCAAAAATATATGCGACTCTTAAGTTCTCTGAGCTTCAGTATTAAGGAGTAGCTATTCACTTTTTCTTTGTATGTTTCATAAGTCCTTCTGAATTTGTCAAAATAACCTTTTTTTAAGTTGAAATTTGATCCAATTTTTGAAAAATAAGTGTCTTCTTTCCATATTTCTCTCCAGGAGCCTCTGAGTTTTTCCATATAACTTTGTTTTTCAGAGTCTTCCTTCCATATTCCTTCTCCTTTTTTTACGGCCACTAGTTCTGCTTTAAGTAAGTTTCTGTGAATTTTCCAATACATTTTGGAATCATAATTCAGTCCTTTAACAAGAATAGTTTTGCCAAGACCTCTTCTCAAAATTTCTTCATTCAGGCTCACATTAAAATATCCACCCTTAAGTAAAAATAACACAAACAATAAATTAATAAAACTGTTGGCATCGGGAACATTTTTTTTCACCTTAAAATCATTCAGTATCTTTAGTTCCAGAAAAACCCTAAAATTTAAAACAAAAGGATACTCAAAAACATAAATCAGCTATTGCTAAATCCAAGAATTTTATTATTTGAAGAGATTTACTCAAAGTCTAAGCAATTCTCTTGTAACATAATTCTTGACAAATTCATTGGTTTACCCAAAGCAGCACAGAAACAAAAGTGTATTAAAAGGCGTTCACAGTTTAGTGATTGTTTTCAGAGGGTGTGGGGCACATATACTGACATAATGACAGAGCAAAAGGGAAATAAACTAAAACAAAAAGCAAAACAATAACTGCTGAATCGTCAAGTGAGATCTAGAGTTTCAGTAACCCTAAGACCTAAGCAATATATACACATGTTGTTGTTAAGTGCTGTCTAGTCATAGACGACTCATAGTGACCCTATGAACGAAAGATCTGAACACTTATATAACTTTCATCATTTCTCCAAGTTCATAGGGTTTCTGGAGGCAAGCTATTTCAGAAGTGGATGTCACTCCTGCTTCCAAGCTTGTTTTAATCGGAGAGCTCCACCAAACCCTGTCTACCGTGGTGACCAATATCGCATTTGGCACATCAGTGTTACAGTGCATCACAGCAACCCCGAGTTACCTCTGAATGTACACATATTTATGTTAAATAACAGTAGAACAGTCCTGGTTCTCAAATCTTCATCCTTCAGAAAATTTCATTCATGGGATACCTCATTCCCTATGAACTGAATAAGCAGGCCTAATTTCATTATGTCCAGTGTAAAGGAAAACTCACATAGCTAATTTCTACATTTGTTTTAGAATTCAATTTAATAAAATTAATTTCAAAAAATACTAATAACTTATCAGGTTACTCAGAAAGGTAATCAAATTTTGTTCCTTTAAATGCAGTGAGTTTTTGTGCATGATAATAATTTAGGGGAAAAATCTGAAACCGTTATCATCTTGCCCTCAACTTCTAAAATTTCATTAGCTCACTCTCTTGAACCAAAATCAGAATAATTAAAATCTATTCTCATTCATCAGTAAAATTCAACAGAATATGATCATCAAGTTTTGACACCATCTAGGAAACAGCAGTTCAAATCTACCAGCAGCTCTGAAGAAAAAGACAGGCATTCTCTTCCCATGTGATTTACTGCCTCTGAAAACCCACTGGAGGGTCAGTTATGAGTCAGTTCTGATTCCAGTGTGGTTTTGTTGTTATGTGCCATCAAGTCACTTGAGATTCACAGCAACCTTATAAACAATAGCTCAGAACCCTGCTCTATACTGAGCCAACCTTATTGTCTCTGAAACACCTTTGCCCATTACCTGAGTCACTGAGTCAATCCATTTCATCCAAGGTCTTCCTCTCTTGCACTGTCCCTCCACCTTCCCAGGCATGATGCCCCTCTCCAAGGGCTGGTCCCTCCTTACAACATGTCCAAAGTATGTCAGATGGAGCTTCAGCATCTTTGCCTCCAAAGAGCAGCCTGGTTTCATCCTCTCTAGGACAAGCCCGTTTATTCTCCAAGCGGTCCATGGCAGCACCACAGCTCAAAGCATCAGTTTTCCTTCTAACATCCCTAGTCATTGTCCAGCTCTCTGATGCATAGCAAGTAACTGTGAAGACCATGGCCTGGATCAGAAGCACCTTAGTCTCCAGACTGACACTGTTGCTCTTCAGTACTCTGGAGAGGATCCCTGACAGCAGATTTTCCCAATGCAATTTGTCTTTGAATTTCCTGGCTGCTGGTACCAAGAAAGTGGTTTGTGTACCCAAGCAAACTGAAGCTGTTAACAATCTCAACAACAATGGCAACAGGAAAAAAATCACGTAAAGATACACAAGGTGAAATGTGGGAGCCAGAGGCAGGAATACCGACTTGAATACAGGCTTTTCTATTGGTTACCATGATCATTCACAGCACTGACCTTGCCTAACACCCCACCTATCGATGGGAATAAAAACAATTATCCCACAGGGTTGTTCTCAGGATAAATGAAATAATACATGCATAATGCCTAGCTTGGCATCTGGTACATGGCTTACTCAAATATATTACCATGATTTTTATCATTATCATAATTATTTTTGGTAATTATACTCTTTAGTCTAAAAGGGAAGCTAATTTTTTTTTTTGGAGAGGTCTGTGAGATGCTTTATATAATTGTGCATTAATCAAATAAGAAAACTCCTTGTCCTCTAGATGGAACCCACAGAGCTGATGTTCCTGCCAGTTTTTAGAGGCTGTTTATACAGCACAGGAATTTGCTATGAATAAATCATTGAATGCATAAAAGTTGATCCTTCGATCTCCCACCTCATATCTGTCACCAAGTCCATTCTTTTTTATTACCATTCCTGCTTTGGTGTTTCTAACTTTTGTGTTCTAGTCAACAATAATTATTAATGCATCTTGACTGTACGCCTGGGCAGTTTTGGACTGCAAAGCTGGTAAAAACCCTCAATCTCCTCCTCTCTGGCTTTTGTTGCTGGTGCACATATCTGAATAACAGTTGTATTAACCGGTCTTCCTAATAAGCGTATGGAAGTCTCTTATCACTCACAGCACTGTGTTTCAGGACAGGTCTTGAAATTGCCTTTTTAGCTATGAAACCAACACCATTCTTTCTCATCATCTCATTCCCGGAATAGGAGACCATGAGACTGTCTGATCCAAAGTGGCCCATGCTTGTCCACCTCAGCTCACTGATGCCTAGAATGTCAATCTTCATGCATTTCATTTTATTTTTGGCAACTTCCATTTTCCCCACATTCATACTTTGTACATTGTTGTTGTTGTTATTGTTATGTGCTGTCGAGTCACTTGCGACTCATAGCAACCCTATGTACAACAGCTCTAAACTCTGCTCTGTCCTGTGCCAATCTCACTGCCTCTGACACACTCATCCCGATTACCCCAGTCACTGAATCAATCCATCTCCTAGAGGGCCTTCCCCTCCTGTGCTTTCCCTTCACCCTGCCAAGCATGATGTCCCTCTCCAAAGACCGGTCTCTCCTTACAATATGACCAAAGTATGTCAGGCGAAGCCTCAGAATCCTTGCCTCCAAGGAGCAGCCTGGTTTAACCCTCTCCAGGATGAATCTGTTTGTTCTCTTAGCAGTTCATGGCACCTTCAGCACTCTTCTCCATCACCAAAGCTCAAAAGCATAAATTCTTCTATCCTCCTTGGTCATTGTCCAGCTCTCTGATGCATAACAAGTGACTGCAAAGACCATGGCCTGTACCAGATGCACCTTTGTCTCCAGAGACACACTGTTGCTCTTGAGTACTTTAAAGAGGTCATTACATGTTCCAAATACCAATGGCTTTTCCCAGCCATTTCTACTCATTTTCTAGTGACTTTCTCTCTATGTCTAATATTAGAAGTACCATGTTCCTCTATTCACAGAGTTTTCAAAGGCCCTTTGTTTCAGAAGTGGATGGCCAACCCTTCTTCCTAGTCTGTCTCGAGCTAGGAGCCCTGTGGCAAGTTCTTCTGCATGGGTGACCCATCTGGGCACCTCAGATACCTGACGGAACCTAACAACACCACCACAACGGCACAGGAGGATGCTGCATGTCCTTCTCCCAAGGAGCAGCTGTGGATCTGAACCATCCGAGAGGCGCGACCTCTAGGTCAGCAGTCCAACTCCGCATGGACGACACTCTTCTAAGTCATAACGCACTCTGGCCAATCTGGTGTAATGAGGTAACCCGGGTTTGCTGTGACACTGAGTCTTCTGCCATTTGGGTTTCTAGTGCCATCATGGAACAAATGTGCCACAGGTGTGCCAAACACCATAATGGCTATCCATCGTGGGCTCCCAGATTGATTCAAGTTTGGAAGTAGGAGTGGCATCCACTTCCTAAGCCTCTTGAAAGTCTATGAACTTGGAGAAACAACAGTAGCTATAGAAAGGCCACAGGCCTTTTGTTCACAGAGTCGCTATGACTCGTGCTCATCTCGATGGCAATAAACAACAGCAATAACAATATGGCTAAAATGCTATAAAATCTAAATATTAAATACTTGGAACACTTAGATCATCTTCTGTATATAATCACAATTATTAGAAAGAGGAAAAAATTCCAAGGTCTCATGTTAAAGTTTCAATAAACAAGTTTAAATATAAAAACAGGGTCAACTAATAGCTAGCCATTTATTTACACAACTTACCCTGTTCAGTAATAAGTAGCAAAAGAGGGCTGAGTTCTCCCTTCCCAGAAGCTGGAACCACAGGAGCTGGGAAGGTTTCAGCTCCTGCTGTAGCCATTCCTTCCCGTGTTCAGTCAGCTCTACCCCAGCCAGCTTCACCAGCAAAGCACCACGCGGCTCTTCTAAAAAGTCAGGAAGAAAAGCGCTCAGTGTTACCAGCATGCTGCAAAAGCAAATTCTAAAGTAAGTGGACTTAAAATGACAGCAAAATATGTGCATTTGTAAGTAACAAGCTACTCTAAGTTGCAATGCAATCCTGAAAAGAGCACGGTTCAAATCCACCAGATGCTCTGCTGGAGAAGGAGGGGCAATCTCTTCCTGTGCCAGTCAGATCCGATTTGATGGTACACAATAACGACAACAAAGCAAAACAAACAAGAAGATACTTTAAATGCAGGTCGACTTATTTCTTTATCCAAGTTTTCTTTGAATAAAAGAAAGAAAGAAATGGAGGATTTGTTTAAAAATCTGGGGAACAGAACAGTGAAACCCACTGTAGTAGTGGCATAATAGGATATGAAATTAATTTAACCTTTTTTAAAAATTCTTTCAAAATTTAATTTATATGTAAATGAATAAATCTAAGAACCTCCGGTGGCCTCGTCAGCATGAAGCTGTGCTGCTAACTCAAGGGCACATGGTTTGAATCCACCAGGCGTCCACAGGAGAAAGACGGGCGATCTCTTCCCAGGCAACTTAAAGCCTCTGAAAACTCACCAGAGGGTCAGCTATGAGTTCATCCCAATTCAATGGCAATGAGAGGGAGGCGTCGTTTTCTGCACATATAAATTCTACCAAAACCACTGTCCTGGAGCAGACACCAACTTCCATTCGGTTCCAAGGCTGTAAATCTTTTGTAAGCTCACCTTTCTCCTGAGGAGTGTCTGGTAAATTCAAACTGTTGATCTTTTGGTGAGCAGCCCCGTTTATTAAACACTGTAACAGCAGAGCTGCTTCCACATAGCCAGATGCATGGATAGATAACTCAGTGAAATAAACTCTACTATCAATGATTCATTGTAGAGAGGATTAAACCAGGCTGCTCCTTGGAGGCAAGGATTCTGGGGCTTCGTCTGACATACTTTGGACATGTTGTAAGGAGAGACAGGTCTTTAGAGAGGGACATCATGCTGGGCAGAGTGGAGGGACAGCGCAGGAGGGGAAGACCCTCTATGAGGTGGATTGATTCAATGACTGGGGTTCTCGGGATGGGTGTGTCAGAGGCAATGATATTGGCACAGGATAGAGCACGGTTTAGGGCTGTTGTACATAGGGTTGCTATGAGTCGCAAACGACTCGACGGCACATAACAACAACAACATCATCATCAATGTTGTTGTTAAGAGCCACTGAATAGATTACCTCTCATAGCGACCCCACGAACAGCACACCTGAACCATCGTCATCATCTCTGCCACACTTGACCCCACTGCTGCAGTCACTGTGGCAATCCATCTCATTGAGGGTTTTCCTGTCTTTCGCTTGCTTTTCTAAGCTGGTGTCCTTCTCCACAGAACAGCCTTTCCTGGCAACATGCCCAAAGCGTGAGAAGTGAAGCTTTGCCCTCTTTGCCTCCAAGGAGCATTGTGGCTGCATCTCTTCCAAGACGTATCTGTTTGTTCTTTGGGCAGTCCATACGATAGTCAGTACTCTTCTCTAACACCACAACACAAAGGCATCAATTCTTCTTCTGTGATCTTTATTCCCTGTCCAGCTCTGAGATGTAAGATGCAAGTGACTGAAAAGTACATGGCCTAAAAAAAAAAAAAAAAAAAGAAAAGTACATGGCCTGAGTCAGGCACACCTTAGTCTTCAAACTGACATCATTGCTCTTCAGTATTCTGAAGGTCACTCACAGTGGACTTTCCCAGTGCAATACATCTCCTGATCGCCTGACTGCTGACACCAAGGTTGCTGACTGTGGATCCAAGTAAGACAAAATTGTTGACAATTTCTCTCTTTTCTCCGTCTATCATGATGGTACCTATTGGCCCAGTGGTGAGAATCTTTGTTTTCTTGATGTTGAGATTTAGGCCCTATTGAGGGCTATGGACCTTGATCTTCTGAAGCAAGAATCTTCAGTCCTCCTCAATTTTAGTAAGTGAGGTTGTATCATCTACATAACACAGGTTGCTGGTGAGTCTTCTGCTCCTGATGCCACACTCCTCTTCATGGAGTCCAGATTTACAAACTATGTGCTCAACATACAGACTGAATAGTTATAGAGAAACACTAGAGCCTTAAATGGTTGGTCACAAGAGCCAAGCTCATGCTCACTTATGCTCTTTCTAAGGAACGCTCTCCCCTCCATATTCACTCACTTTCTAATGAAATAACAACTCCTCAAAAAGATTTCCTGACTACTCAACAGCATCGACGCTCCTTTTCCACGATCCTTAATTATTCTCTCTCTCAGCATGCAGCTCTTTTCCATTTGTCCGTTGCCTGCCTCCCAGCTAGACTGTAAGGATTAAGTGGTAGAGAGGCCGTACTAGTTTCACTCAGCATTGTCTACAGGTAGCTTCAGATCAAGAATGTACCAGGGGATCAGTGTTTGCAGAATTAATGCTTGAATGAAAAACTAAATGATTAAATAAAAATAATGTGGGAAGGAAAAGAAAAATATAGAGAGCCAAATTCAATAGATTCTTTTATGTAAAATCAAGGGTTCATATTTTCCCCTCACAGAAAATCACTAGAGAATGATCAGGAATTAAGTGACAGCTGGACTGTATGAAGAAGAACCTGACAACAGGATTGGAGGAAGACTCACCAACAACCTGCAAGATACAGATGACACAATCTTGCCTGAAGAAACTAAAGAAAGTTTCAATTACTTGCTGCAAAAGATCAAAGACTAACCTTCAATACAGACTACAACTGAACATCATTAAAACAAAACTCCTCACCACTGCACCATCAGGACAGACGGGGGGGCGGGGGGATTGAAGTTGTAACAATTTCCTTTTACTTGGACCCACAATCAACACCCATGGTAGCAGAAGTTAAGAAATCAAGAAACATTTGCATTGGAGAAATCTATTGTCAATGACCTCTCCAAAGTGCTGAAGAGCAATGATATCAGCTGAGAGACTAAAGTGCGCCTGATCCAAGGCACGGCGTTTTCACTGCTTCACATGAATGCTGGACACCGATTAAGAAAGAACGGAAGCCTGTGAATTGTGTTGTTGGTGAAGAGTACTGAATAGTCAATGCACCGCTAAAACAACAAACAAGTCTGTTTTGGAAGAAATCCAAGCAGGGCACACCTCAGAGGTAAGGACGATTAAACTTCATCTCACCTACTAGGGACATGTTTTGGGGAGGGACTGTTGCTTTGTCAGGTGCCACTGAGTTGACCAGAACTCACAGTGACACTATGAACAAAAGATTGAAACCCTGGCCTATCCCAGGCCATCCTCACCCCTGTGACACACCTGAGCTCACTGCTGCACCTATCGTATCAATCTATCTAGTTAAGGGTCTTCCTCTCTTTCACTGACCTTTTCAAGTATGAAGTCCCTCACCTAGAAAGTGCCTATGCTAGCAACATGCCCAAACTATGTGAGCTGAAGCTTTATCACCTTTTCCTCCAAGAAGCACTCTGTCTGCATCTTCTACAACACATATCTGTTTGTTCTTCTGGCCGTCCGTCGGATATTCAGTACTCTCTCCATTAGGACTACACAACTGAAACCTCCTGTCATCTTTATTCAGTGTCCAGCTTTCCAATGCACAGCACGTGATTGAAAAGACCATGACCTGAATCAGGCTAGTCCTGGGAAAAAAGTCATCACGCTAGGAAAGATGCTAGACATTACATCAGGGAAAGAGAGGAAGATCTTCAACAGGACAGACTGACATGGAGGGGCCGACTGACATGGTGGGACAGGCTCACACGGTGGGACACAATGACTCGGTTGGACAGGCTGACACAGTGGGACAGGCTGACACGGTGGGTCTAATGAAGAGCTGAGCATGGTACACGTGAGGGCGGCTTAGGCATGCGTGTGATGGAGCAAGGATCTGACCTCGGGTTCGCAGGGTTCCTATGAGTTGTAGTGAACTCGACAGCACAAAACAATGACACTGAGAGAATGCTACAAGTATTATTTAGTCTCAATATTCTTACACATTACTTACTTTTCCAAGAAGATAAAATAGGTAAAGTAATTGGAACGTGTTCAATTTCCAACCCGTGTTCGGTTATTCGACATAATCGTCCGCGTAGTTTAATATTCTTTTTTATAAATTCTGTTGGAATATCTGAAGAACTTGTGAATTTTGATGTCTGGTTCACAAGGAAAAAAAAGATAAACTTTTATTTCCATTTCTGGTTTTAAAAAAGTCATACTTTTTATCATAAAAACTTGACAATCATAAAAATTGTATGTCTTTCAAAATGTTTAATACTTTAACAGAATAAAAAGGTTTTATAGGACTATTACATAGGCTCTTACATGTTTTATAGAATTATTATATTGTATTATATAGTCAACACCCTTGGCACCAGCAGCCAGGAAATCAAAAGACGTATCGCATTGGGAAAGTCTGCTGTCAGGGACCTCTCCAGAGTGCTGAAGAGCAAAGATGCCAGTTTGAAGATTGAGGTGTGCCTGATTTAAGTCAGGATCTTTTTAATCACATGTTATGTACCTGAAAGGCAGTGGATAAGGATGCCAAGAAGAACTGATGCCTTTGAGCTGTGGTACAGGAGAAGAGTGCTGTTCTCTATGGACAGCTCAAAGGACAAGCAAGTATGTCTTGGAGAAGGTGCACCCCAGACGCTCCTTGGAGGTACAGCAATGAAACCTTACCTTGGGCAGACTGTTAGGAGGGGCCAAGCCTTGGAAAAGGACGTCAAGCTTGGGAAGGTAGAATATCAGCAAAAGAGAAAGATCCTCAACAAGATGTATTGACACAGTGACTAATACGGTGGCTCGAATGTATCTGATAGGACGAGGATGGGGCCAGGTCAGATCCACTGTTCACTGTTGTTGTTTTTTTAATTTTTTTTACATTTTATTTTATTATTTTGTGTATGTACCATCAAATCGGATCTAACAGGTACAGGAGGAGATTGCCCCCTCTTTCTCCAGCAGAGCATCTGGTGGATTTGAACCATGTACCTCTGGGATTGCAGTGCAGCTTCTTGCCACTAGGCCACCAGGGCTCCCTTAAGGTTGTTGTTCTTACGTGCTGTCGAGTCACTTGTGACTCACAGAGACACTAAGTACATGGTCCTGAAACCTCCTCTATCCTGTGCCAACCCTATTGTCTCTGACACACCTAACTTCATTACCCCCATCACTGAATCAATTCATCTCATCCAGGGTCTTCCTCTCCTGCACTGTCCCTCCACCATTCCAAGCATGACGTCCCTCTCCAAGGACTGGTCTCTCCCTGAAACATGCCAATGTATGTCGGATGAAGCCTCAGAATCTTTGCCTTCAAGGAGCAGCCTGATTTCACCCTCCCCAGGATTAACCTGTTTGTTCTCCTAGCAGTCCATGGTATATTCAATACTCTTCTCCAACATCACAGCTCAAAGGTATCAATTCTCCTTCTATCATCCCTAATCATTGTCCAGCTTTCTGATGCACAGCAAGTAATTGCAATGATTATGGCCTGGGACAGAAAAAAAAAACCAGAAACAATCATTCTGTGTATACTATTTCTGGTTGTTGTTGTTATGTGCCGTCGAGTCGCTTGCGATTCATAGCAACCCTATGTACAACAGCCCTAAACTCCGCTCTGTCCTGTGCCAATCGCATTGCCTCTGACACACCCACCCGATTACCCCAGTCACTGAACCAATCCACCTCATAGAGGGCCTTCCTCTCCTGCTCAAAATACGCCTAGTGGCAGGAGACTGCACTGCAATCCCAGAGGTGCGCGGTTCAAATCCACCAGATGCTCTGCTGAAGAAGGAGGAACAATCGCCTCCTGTACCAGTCAGATCCAATTTGACGGTACACACATTAAAAAAAAAAAAAAAGAATGAATGAATAAATAAATAAATAACCTCAAAATACAAATTCATTGCCGTGGAATTGAAACCAACTCACAACTGACTTTCCACTAGATTCCTGAGGTTGAAGTCCTGCAGGAGGGGGCTGCCCATCTGTCCCCCTGAGAGGCGCAGGCAGAGAGGCAGAGCCTCTGGGTCAGCAATGCAGCTCCCTACAGACGATACCACCCAATCAGAGAACCACAATTCCTGCCTTCTGAAAGCTCACATCCTCAATGTATTACACATTTGATAAAAAAAAAAAAAAACAAAACAACAAACACTAAAAAACCAACAGTGAATGCCTGTGTCTGGCACATAAATCTAGGTCACTACTCTACTGTGTATTTACATAATTTATTCATGTCGGTATTTCCAGAAAAAGCCTAAACAAAACTGACTCAAATGAGATGGTTACTGTTTGCTGTTAGCTGTCTCTGGCTCACTTACTCTGTCATTCTGCCTCCTGGTGACCGGATGCGCGTGCAGAGAACTGCCCGCTGGGCTTTCACCTGCAGCCCTTCCAAAGCCAATCACCGCATCTGCATCCCAGTGTTTGGAGCAGGTTCAGAGGCCGACCTTTCAGAACCTACTGTATTTTACACAAATAATTCAGGAGTCTCACTATTACTGTAAGCAGTGCAGACTCTCTCTGTTCATGTCCTATGTGCACCACGGCCACTATACACCTGTTCACGATCTTTATGTGGGTGTGAGTGATGCAAAAACTAGGGTAAACATGTGAGGTAACCAAGGACTCCCAACTTATATTAGCTTGAATGAAAGGATTTGTTAATCTTTCATTAACAAAAGTCTTTTTTTTTTTTACTTTGTAGAAGAAGGTAAAAGAAAGGGGAAAGAGATCAAAACAAAGAGGAAAGACCAAAGCAAAGAGGGCAGATGCTGAAGAGAGAGATGAATGGAAGATTCAAAGAGCAGCATGAGAAGTGAGTATAGTAAGAAAATGTGTAAACAGCGGGGGTTAGAAAACCAAAAGGGAAGAACGTGATGCCCAGCAGTTCTCAAGCTGAAAGAACTGAAAAACAAATCCAACTCTCAACTTGCAATGCTGAAGGACTCGATGGGCAAAATCTTCAATGATGCCGGAAGCATCAAAAGAAGATGGAAGGGATATACCCGTCACTGTGCCAAAAGGTTGACAATGAACCATTTCAGCAAGTAGCATATGATTCAGACCCAATGGTAACGAAGGACGGAGTTTAAGCTGCACTGAAGGCATTGGCAAAATGATGAGGCATTAGGATTAAAGGAATGCAAACAACAATGTTTAAAAAAAACATATGTAGCCTGAGATGTGCTCACCAGTCTATGCCAATCAATCTCGAAGACAGTTACCAGACGAATTGACTGGAAGAGAACAATTTTTTTCCCCATTAAAAAAAAGGGCGGGGACTCAATTGAAAGTGGAAATTAGCAAACAATATCATTAACAGCACATGCAAGTAAAAATCTAGTTGAAGAATATGTTGTTGTTGTTGTTGTTGTTATGTGCCGTTGAGTCGTTTGTGACTCATAGCGACCCTATGTACAACAGCCCTAAACCCTGCTATATCCTGTGCCAATCGCACTGCCTCTGACACACCCATCCCGATTACCCCAGTACTGAATCAATCCACCTCATAGAGGGTCTTCCCCTCCTGTGCTGTCCCTCGACTCTACCCAGCATGATGTCCCTCTCTAAAGACCTGTCTCTCCTTGCAACATGTCCAAAGTATGTCAGATGAAGCCCCAGAATCTTTGCCTCCAAGGAGTAGCCTGGTTTAACCCTCTCTAGGATGAATCTGTTTGTTTTCTTAGCAGTCCATGGTACATTCAATACTCTTCTCCAGCACCACAGCTCAAAGGCATCAATTCTCCTTATGAAAAGAAAAAAATGACTGGAACAGTATATCTACGGGGAACTTCCAGAAATTACAGCTGGATTCAGAAGAGGCTGTAGCATAATGGACAAACATTGCTGGTGTCAGATGTATTTTGGATTAACAGCAAAAAAAATCCAAAAAGATGTTTTTGTATGTATGTTTTATTGACTATGCAAAGGTATTTGACTGTGTGGATCATAACAAATGATGGTTAACACTGAGAAGAATGGGAATCCTAGAACACTTAATTGTGCTCATGTGCAACCTACACCTAGACCAAGAACTGCTGAGTGAATAGAACAAGTGAACACTACATGATTTAAAAATTAGTGAAGATATGCATCAGGGTTGTGTCCTTTCTCCATATCTATTCAATCCATATGCTGATCAAATTATTTGAGAAGCTGGACTATATGAAGAAGGTCACATTAGGATCAGAGGAAGACTCATCAACAACCTCTATTATACAGATGACATACCTTGCTTGCAGAAAATGAAGAAAACTTGAAACATTAACTGAAGAAGATCAAAGATCAATACAGCTTTCAAGACGGATTACATCTCAATATCAAGAAAACAAAAATCCTCACCACTGGACCAAAGGCAACATCATGATAGAAGGAGAAAGGAGCGAAGTTGCAAATAAACTCACTTTACCCCACAACCAACATGCATGATTACATGGCTTGTTGTTGTTATTGGTGATTGCTGTTGAGTGGAACACAGCTCGACTCATGGCGACCCCTGAAGCCTTTCTATAACCACCGTCATTTCTCCAGGTTCACAGAGTTCCCAGAGGCATGTGGTTTAGGAAGTGGATGCCACTCCTGCTTCCAAATTACAGGGTAGCAGCAGTCAAAAAAGCAAAAGACGTACTGCGTTGGGAAAAATCTGCTTCAAGTATCTCCCTAAAATGCTAAAAGAGCAATGACGTCAGTTTAAAGACTAAGTTGTGCCTGCATTTTCAAATACTTCTTCTGAATGTGAGAGCATATGAAAGGATGACGGAGCAGTCTCTGCCTTGGAACAGGACTGCTGGGGAAGAATGCCGGAGAGCCCACGAACTGTCAGAGAACAATTCTATCCGTCTCGAAGGAAGTACGACCAGACCGATCCCTAGAAGTATAGATGGTGGAACTTGGTCTCACATATTTTGGGCATATTTTCAGGAGAGGTCAATCCTTGAAAAAGAAAGTCAGGCTGGGAAAGGTGGGGAGTCAGAGGAAGAGAAAGAGCTCAACCAGCTGAATGACAAAGTGATGCAGCGATGGGTCCGAGCACAGCAGAGGCCCTGCAACCAGCAGTGCCAGGGAGCGATACAGTGATGGGGCAACAGGTCCGGAGCCCAGCAGAGGCCACGCAGCCGGCACAGACACCAACACAGTGACGGGGCAC